CAGGCGCCGGCCGGGGCTGCTGGCAGTCGGGCAGCGGGGAGATAAGGCTGAGGCTCTTGTGTGATTTAAAGGCACCACCTTTGTAGGTGTTTTATTGCACCATTCTGGGGGATTATTAGCTTGGCCGCGTTCCCGGGGAGCTGCTATGGTATTTTAATTATGAAAGCAGGTATTGTAATGACAAAGCCCCACGTCTGGAGGGGCTGGTTAAACCATATGCTAATGCCTTATTTACATCAGGGCTTCACGGAGCGCTCCCCGGAGCACGCTCCCTCCATTGTCTGGGCCGTATCTCACCGTGCCACCGTGTGCCGCCGCGGCCTCCCCCGCCACACCAGGGCTGGACACGAGATGCAGCTGGGCAGCGCTCGGGAACGGGCCCCACGCCTGCCCTAGCACCCGGGCAGCCCCCGGCAAGGCAGAACGGAGGGGCCAGGATGTCTGGGCCTGGGTGCTGCTGGGGGCTCCATGAACCGCGACACCCTGACGCCCCTTCACCATGCACCAGGTGGGCACCGGCGGCTGAGGCCGAGTGCCTGCAGCTCTCAAGCCAGGCCCCGCTGCAGCAGACGGGATGCCTGAGCCTGGCCTGCAAGGGCCCCTCCAGGCCTGGAGCAGGAACAGGAGCAGCAGCTGGCTACGGACCCTGGCCGCGCAGCCCCCCGGACGCAGCTCCCCGGGCCCAGGCCAGAGCCTCGCAGCACCGCCCTGCCGGGGCAGGGACTCTTACGCGCCAGGCAAGAATAGAAGTGGTGGGTAGATCTGGGCAGATGGCAGAGGGTGGAGAAACCATGGAGCGTGCTGAATATTAACAGCTCAATCGCACCCGTCAGCGCCCAGGAGGGGAGGGCGGGACGCCGGCACTCAGCCAGAGCTTCCCCAAGCGCAGGGCAGCCCCCCGAAGCCTCCGCAGGGAACCCCGCGGGGGGCTTCAGGCTGGGGAGCAGCTCCCAGCTGGGAGGGCGACGCACCTTGCCGGTCGGGCGCGCTGTCCTCCCTCGCGCGGCCTGGGCCTACCCCGGCACGGAGCAGCATCCCCAGAAGGACGGCGCCGCGAGCGGCTCGAGGCCGGGCAGCTCCCCGGGGCCAGCTGGAGCTGCTGCACGGACAGGGAGATGCTGGGGGGCGGGGAGCCCCCCGAAGCAGAGCCCTGACCCCAGCCTCCTCCTCCGAGGAAGGCGATGGAATCGGCATGAATCAGACTCCACACATCTCGGCAAAAGTGGAAAATTATTCAGCTCCTTAAGATTCAGGACGGGGAGGTCTGACTCAGAGCAGCAGCCAGCGCCGCTTAATTTTTTATAGATTAAAAAATATGCAAATTGGCCCAAACCCCAGAGAGAGTCCCTGGGGGTGAGGAGCACGAAAGTGAAATAGCAACAGGAGGGGGGCAGCAAGCTGGGGGCGGCGCCCACCCCCCGCTCCCCGCAGGCGCCCGTGAGTGCTAACTGCGTGCAGGCCCTGGGCGGGCGGGCGCAGGGAGGAGGGGCCAAGCCCTGGCAGCGTCACCGGG